CTCTGAAGGGAAGAGAGAACTTCCCCTTTTTTTATGGCCTTGTCTAAATACTGATGGAGATTGTGGATTCAAAAGGCTTCTATGTTCTAGGCAACTCATGTCAAGAGCCTTGGGTGATCACTGATGTCATACATAAGAGTGTTAATTATTAAATTAACAACAGGATTCACTATGCACTAACTTCCCATGCAGGAGCTATGTCCTCAAAGAGATATAAGAGGAGACTTAATAGTAAAACTTGTTCTCAAAGAATGATTTCGCTTTAGTGTATTAAGTGGAGGATAATCTTATGCTTCATAAATGATAATTAAGTCTAAGTGCTCACAAAACAAAAGATATATCATTCACTTCTTAATCTCCCATTCACTACTCAAAATGTCTCATTCAGTACCACCCCCACCCCTTCAGGACTTCAAAGCTTCAATTCACCAAGGAACTACTTGTTAATTTAAATAAACAGATTTCAGTTGCTTTGGTATTCCTTCTCAGCAACTTTCCACACTTTGGTCATTTGGATTGTCTTGAAAAACTGTTACTTTTCATTGCGTAAAATCATCCTTTCCAAGTTTCTCTCTTTGGTTACAGCTCCTCTTCAGTGTCTTGTACCCACTTCTCAGGTTCTACCCAAATATCAAAATGTTCAACTTCTTAAGGACAGACTCCTAGGCTGTGGCTATTCTCATTTTACAACAGAGATTATAAATTGATACTCAAGTAGTCTAATCCTCAACATCTAGCACAAAGTCTGGAAAATCATAAATATTCAATAGATATCGGAGTAATTAATTAGTTATGAAGCAAAAACTCAGTTGGGCTAAGGGGAAAGGGAAGAGAATACCTTGTGAAACAAGTCACTAAAGCAACCCCAAGACGAGCACCTCCTCCCCACACACAATAGCAAGTCCCCAAACCAATTACCATAAATTTCTAGCCTAGACAATTGATATTTGTGCACCTTCTTCACATCTGATGTTTTAAAAACACAACAGAGGACTGAGTTGTTTGGAGTATTTTGGACCTTAAACCAGGAGTTTATAGTCAACAGAATCATACAATCAAAATACAAAAACAAGTGAAAACTAGCTTAGACCTCCCAACAAAACCAGGGTCAAATTAAAAAATACTACCATGAGCTTACCCCCATGATTCTCTTCTAAAATTCAGTAATAATTTTGATGCTTGCCCTTGACTCTTATCAATTCAGTAACAGGATAAAAAGCCAGGACCAAATATCATAGTATATTCACCTGCTGTCAGACCAATCTTATTTCTGTATAATTTCCATCAAACTCAACTTTGTCCAAAAAGCAGATAATCGGTAAAGAACAATCCCATCCTAACGTCATTCAAAAACAGTTTTTCAGACAAGACTTGGTTCTATACAAAGTTATAGGACAGTTAATGAACAAACAACTGTCCCATCCAAAACTCATCCCAAAACAACTGTCACTGAAGATCTACCTCTATACAAACTCTTTTGAAATCGACTTCTCAAAAAAAATATTGTATAAAGTTCATACAAAAGCATTTGTTCAAATAGGATCTGGCTCCAAGTAAATTCATCTAAGATAAGCTGATCTGAAAAAGATTCTCTTATTTAAAAAATGTATTCAGCAAGGGGCTGCCTCTAAACAAACTCACTGAAACAATCCAATATCCAAAGAGCTGTACCATCCAGAATTTATCCCAAACCATCTCCCTCTAAACAAACTCATCTAAAGCTAACATATCAGGAAAACGTTCCCCTGCTTAAACCTGATTTAATCATATTGCTCAGAGGCAGAAATATGCATTTTGTTCACGGGTATTATGTGCATTTCGGTAAGGAAATAATGTATAATTTCAATTAGGTTCTCCAAACGGTCCATAACACATAGAATTTAAAACTAAAACCAACAAGAAAGATAAAGGAATGCCTAGACATATAGGGCTAAGAGATGCCACCTATAATTCATAAAACACTTTAATGAATCCTGATCTCTTAAGTCATTGCAAAAACATAAATTATCCCACTGTTTTTGCTGATGTCTCCTTGTTTAGGAAGCTTTTTCTTGGTATATTACATATTTCTTGACATCTAACTCCATAATTACATTATTACAAGTTATCTGCTTTCATACTTAAAATTTCTTTGCCTAAGAAATTACTTAGCCTTCCTACTTTTTTTCTTGTCTATTTTGGTCTGATTCCACAGACTGCTCAATTTCCTAGCTGGGGCATGTTCCATTCCAACGTGGTGTTGGAGACATGTCTGCAACAGGCAGTCTATGCACTGTGAGGTCCTTGAATCATCTGATTCTCCAGACAGTCACAAACAATGATTCAACACAAATGAGCCATTCACCAGAACCATACTCCAGGCTGCCCATAGAACATGTCTCCTCACCTAAAACCAGGAACAATGACATGTCAACTCTCTCTCCACCAAAAAAAAAGAAAAAAAATAATAAAAAACAAAGAAAACCCCTTATTCTGCACACTCACTGAAAATAATGTGCAGAGAAGGTAGCCTCCCCAGTGTCATGGGCCCCTCCCATCCATAAGGCTTGAATATTTAGTGCTCCCCACACCAAAACATAAGCTCCAGACAGCAGAGATTTTTGTCTCTTCCACTCACTATTTTATCCGTGAAACAGTATCAATGAACACAGAGAGAATGTATGTTAAATCCATGAGTTGAAAAAAAGAATGGCTGAAGAAAAGAAAGAATGAATTGGTGTATGAATCCCCGGGGAAACACAGGTGAAGTTGCTTTTCTTCCACATCCCTCAGTATTTATGGTCTCTCGCCCTTCTTTGGGCCACCTCCTACACCAAGCTATTCTCTCTTTTGTTAACCATATTTGTTCTCCAGTCCCAATCCTAAACTCTATATCTTCTCCGAAGTTTTCCTTCCACTCAATTTTGTCTTTGCTCCCCAGAGTATAAACCTCTATCATTTATTTGTCAACATGTAGTGAACATCTTATGCTGTGCAATATGATAAACATAGAGACCTCTAACAAATATATGATAAAGACTTAGGTTCTCTCAATCTAGTTCAAGAAAACCAGGAAACAAGTCCTTGGGCCCTGCACCCCATGGGAGACCAGGAGAAGTACCTGGCTCCTGCCATCGGATCAGCGCGGTGCGCCGGCCGCAGCGCACCGGCCGCAGCAGCCATTGGAGGGTGAACCAACGGCAAAGGAAGACCTTTCTCTCTGTCTCTCTCTCTCTCACTGTCCACTCTGCCTGTCAAAAGAAAAAAAAAAAAAAAAACAATGAAAAAACTTTGAGGCCAGCAATGTAGCACAGTGAGCTAAGCCACCATTTGCAATGCCAGTATCCCATATGAGCACCAGTTTGAGCCCCTGCTGCTCCACTTCCAATCCAGCTCCTTGCTAATGCACTTTGGAAATCTTCCACACGTAAAGTGAGAGCATGAGGTTTTTGTCTTCCTGTGCCTGGCTTATTTCACTTAACATAATGTCTTTCAGTCCTATCCATGTTATTATAAATGATTTCTACAAGGTTTCTTTGTTTTTCATGAACAAAAAATTATATTGTGTCTGTGTGTATGTGTATATATATCATATTTTCTTTTATCCATTCAATTATCAATAGACAACTAGTTTTTTTATTTGAGGTAAACAAATTGCATGAATTTCATGTATATAGATTTAGGAACATACTGATACTTCCCACCCTACCTCCCTCCCACCCATGCTCCTACCATTCCTCCTCCTTCCTCTCTTATTCCCTCTTAATTTTTACAATTATCTACTTTCAGTTTACTTTATACTCATAAGATTAACTCTATACTAAGTAAAAAGTTCAATAAATAGTAAAAAGAAAAATAAAACACTGTTCCTCAACAGTTGTGACAAGGTCTGTAAGCCATCATCAAATCTCAAAATGTCAATTTCACTCCTATACACTATATTTTAGGTACTCTTTTGGTTACCACACATCAGGGAAAACATGTGGTATTTGTCTTTTTGGAACTGGCTTATTTCACTAAGTATAATGGTTTCCAGTTGCATCCATTTTGCAAAAGACAGGATGTCATTCCTTTTTATGGCTGAGTAGTATTCCATTATATTATATATATGGATGAATATTCAACTAGGTTGAGTCCATATCTTATCTATGGTCAATAGTGCTATAATAATTTTTTTATTCCTCAAAAATCAGCTCAAGGATAATTTCCTCTAATAAACCTTCCCTGTCCTTGTGCACCCAACAAAATTAACTACACTCTCTTTCATACCTGCACATGCTCCTATTGTTACTACACATTATTTGTTAACCTATGTGTTTCCTGTCAGAGCTCCCAATACCCAGCAAAGTATATTACAGTAACAAAAGTTGATCATGTAAATTATTTGAACACTTAGAGAAAAGTTTTGAAGAATAATTCATCATCTCAAATTTCCATTAATTAACACTCTGCATTGTATTCTTTAAGAAAGCCAAACCATAAATGCCTTTCCATGTAAAATCATAGAATAATATAGACTCATCATCAATTTGGTCTAAGAAATTGTTTAACATAATCTACTTCCCTCTGTGGCCTATCTAAAAAACTCCAGATGAAGCCCTGGGTTCTGGAAACCAATGGCAACCTATGAATATTGCTTACCTTATTCTTTGTGTGTGAAAGATACCTTAACAGATACCTTGTTCTTGTTCAGTTATAGTAACTCCCCCTCCATTTAAAATAAAGCAAAACTATTCAAAATTGCTGGAAGGCAATTTGGATATATTATTGAGGTTTAAAATAATATTTCCTTTAATAAAATATGAATAACTCCTAGGAATAACATCTGCAGAAATACATTTACACATGTGAAAAAAATTTAAAATGGTGTTAATTTTAGCACTTTCATAATTACAAAAAATTGAAATAGGTTTAGTGCCCATCAAAAGGAACATGTATCAAAATATAATGTAACCATTAAATAAATTATATAAATCTACATACACAGATTCACAAAGTTACCCATTATTTGTTAAGTAAAAAAGATAAATAACAAAGCAAAATACATAATAGACTTCATTTTTCAAGTATACACAGAACCCTATATTTTGGTGTTTGAGTCATGTGCTCATACTCACATGATACAACAAGTATATCAGTAAATTGTTTGAGGAGAATGGAGATGAAGAAGGATTTCAATATTTTTATTGTCTGCACTTTTTTAAAATTACACAAGGCACATCTCCCTGAAGAACCCTCTATTCAAATGGTAGACATTGAGTAATATGTCTGCAGCTAATAACTCACCTAATGAGATGTTGGGAAATGAAAGAAACCAAATGATTTCATAGACAGCTACATCCTGATTGGTCCCTCAGTTGCCAATCTCCTGTAACTGAGTTTAAATTCTTTCTACAAACTCATTGAGAACCAAAGGGTAAAATTTTTCACCAAAGCAACCTGGAGAAATCTGCTGGATTTTGAGCACTATTTCACCTGTACATTTTGCCTAGTGGATGCAAAGGTAACATTGCTGGACCATGTTTCAAATATAACATCAACCTTTTTTTTAAGTATCACCTTCTCTCAAAAGGAAAAAAAATACTGTGAAAGAGTAATACTATTTTGTTGTTACAGGTAGCAATTTGAAACATGAAGACTGCCATTCTACTGTTTTGTCTTCTAGGATCAACTCAGTCATTACCAGTAAGTGCTATGTGTTTATTTTATGTTCCAACCAGGCTCAGCCATATCTCCAAGTGAAGACCTAACTAATTCTCCTCCTGACTCCATCCAAATTGCTCTGTTCTGTTCTGTGTCCCTTTCCCTTGGTTTCCTGTTTTTATTTTCCATGTATATTTTAATGTATCTGTGTTTTTTAAATGTATCCACTGTATCATGGTAGGATTTTATTTTGGCAGAGCAATAGGGTAGAAATTAGGGGACAAAGTAATGTCTTAGATTATATCTTCCCAAAGTAGTTAAATCACTTTATTTTCCAAAAAGAATTTAAGATTGCCTTGGCAACTAGTTATTTGCTTATAACTAAGGAGGTAAACTATATTTTCTGATTAGAAAGACAAAATAGCCAGATTGTATAAACTTTACAAATGCTACCAAATCATATGACACCAAAGACTTATTATAAAATGGTTCACATTTCTGACTTAGGACATTTCATCACAGAATGTGTTCACATTGTTGGCTTTAGGAAAAAAAATGAGCACTGTACCCCAGCACTCACTCCTGTTGCCCTCCATTGATTTATAGACCGAGATGGGTGATTTGGATCTCTAAAGATATTTCCTCTGACTGTTTAAGATGCTTGACGATGGGCTTCAAGAAACAAAATTGAGGCAGGCATTTGGCACAGTGATTAAGCATTTAGTTGAAACATCTGCATGCCATATTGGAATGCCTGGATTTGATTCCCAGTTCCACTCCTGATTCCAGCTTACTGCTAATATATTCTCTGGAAGGCAACAGGTGATGGGTTCCTGCCACTTACATGGGAGACCTGAATTGAGTTCCAAGATTCTGGCTTCAGATTGGCCCAGTCCCAGCCATGCATTTGGGGAATGAGCCAGTGGATGGCCTGCCTCCCTCTCTCTTTCTCTCTCTCTCTCTCTCTCTCTCCTTCTCTCCCTCCTTTCCTCCCTTGGTGTGTATCTTCCTCAACAATTTTTTAAATGAAAAAATTATGAGCTATTTGCTATGAAATAGAACAAATAGAAACCGTAATTAACTGAACCTCAAGCTCACTAGACATTTCTACAGTCATCTATACAATCAGCAAGCATCTATTGAAAACTCTATATGGTGCACATTGTGCTGGTTGCTAAAGAGGAATGGTCAGAAAAAGAATAAAATAATAGATATGGTCCCTCATGGTGTTCACAAGGACTACAACTATTAATCAAGTGGCTTTTAAAGAAATATTCAATTATAAATTAGCTGGGGCTGTCTTTTGAAGGAAATAAATGGGGTGAGCTTGTAGGGAGATGGAGTAAGAGATGAATAAGCAATCTGCCTCTTTCTCTGCAGACACACCTGTAACAATATAAATATATAGATGTATACCTTCACCTTGCAAGAAATTCTCTGTTAAACTTTAATACTCAAGAAAAAGGAAGTGAATTATTTAATTTTGATTTTTAATGTTTATTTTACAATATAAATGGATCTTTCAATTTGCCAAATTTATCAAAAAATTCTTCAAAATGAATCCCTCTGGATATTTAAATTATACATCATTGTTAAAACTCAAGATCCAGGCTGGCACCGCGGCTCAATAGGCTAATCCTCCGCCTGCAGCTCCGGCACCCCAGATTCTAGTCCTGGTTGGGCCACCGATTCTGTCCCGGTTGCTCCTCTTCCAGTCCAGCTCTCTGCTCTCCCGGGAGGGTCATGGAGGATGGCCCAAGTCCTTGGGCCCTGCACCTGCATGGGAGACCAGGAGGAAGCACCTGGCTCCTGGCTTCAGATTGGCGCAGTGCGCTGGCCATAGTGGCCATTTGTGGGGTGAACGAATGGAAGGAAGACCTTTCTCTCTCTCTCTCTCTCTCTCACTAACTCTGCCTGTCAAAAAAAAATGCTGAAAAAGCTACAAGAACAGGTAATGCCAACCTCTCTTCTTCCAACTTGGGGAAAAGTCTAATGTGAAACCAAAAGTTAGTGGCTATACCAGGCAAAACCCACGGTGACCCAAGGGCTGGGGTCAGTACTGGATGTCCCTGCCCTCTGGGACACATCCTGGAGCAAAGATGCTCTGAGTTCAATCTGCCAAAAGGAAGGATTGATTTCCTCAAGAACACCTGCAGGGATCCTAGTGCTGGCTCTGCCATTTGTTAGGGTCACCTGGGCAGGCAGCTCGGCTTCTTTAATTTATGGAACAAAACCATACAAGTGGAACATATGGGTGCCAAGGAACTCCTCAGCCCTAAAATGAAGTGATTCTTAATACAGTTGAAAAACACCTAGTCCAGAAGGGAGACTAAGCTTCTATTTGCAGCATGGACATGCCAGGCACAAGACTACTCTAGGAAGCATCATGACAATGCAGAAAGAATTGTGGCAGCTTACCTCAAGTATCAAATGAGCAAAGAGCTAAGATACAGACTAGTATATTTCAGGTCCTGGCAGAGGAGAAAATCAATTACAGAAAATGAATGGGAGCCGGGAGCAACCACCAGAAATTCCACATCCCCTGGTCCTCACTATCCCCTCCATGCACTTCACACCCCAGCCCTCCTGATCTGGTATTTTTCCGTTCTATGATTCCATTTCCTGCCATGTACAAAATGTTGCAGGGAATTAAAAATGCTCCAAAATATAAGGAGCTTAAAGATAGACATTTGGGGAGCTGGTGTTGTAGAGCGGGTTAACCACTGCGTGTGATGCTGGCATCCCACACGGCGTATCAGTTTGAGTCCCCACTGCTCTGCTCCCACCCAGCTTCCCCCCAATGCAGATGATGGCCCAAGCAGATGAGCCCCTGCCACCCATGTAGGAGACCAGGGTGGAGCTCCTGGCTCCTGACTTCGGCCTGGCCCAAACCTAGCTAGTGCAGCCACTTGGGGAATTAACTGCTGGATAGAAGATTCTCATTTTATTTTGCTCTCAGTGTCACTCTCTTGCTCTGCCTTTCAAATAAATAAATAATTTTCGCCTTGGGAACAATCTCTTACCTCCAGGACATAAATGGATAAAAGACCTCAAACACATCCCTGCCTCATCAAATATGTGTTTTCACAGAAGCAGCTCAACCCTGCTCTGGAACTTCCTCCCACAAAACAGGCTCCGGATCAGGAAACACCACTGAACCAACAGCAGCCAACTCAGGTAAGCGTCCTACAAGAAGGAACTCTACAAACCAGCAAAGGAAACGTGCTAATACCAGTGGATTTAAAGTCAAGACGCAACAAAAGACAGAAGATTTTCCTTTGACAGAAAATTTAAAAGGAGCTAAAAACACATTTTGGAACATTTTAAATAAGGAAATCAAGGCACCCTCATTCTTTTTCCCTCGGTCTGGATAATAATTTGGCTTACCAACTAAATTTAGCAAACTCTGAAAAGCATAGTTATGCCTATTTACAAAGCTTTCTCACCTATGCCCTTTAGATTCTGTGATGTATCGTATGTTCTGCTTGCCAACTTGGCAGCAAGTAAGAGATGATCTATAAAATAACTGAAGATTTCCATGGTTTTCTTATGCTGCATCGTTGCTGGTGAGCCATTCCCACACCACCCCTTCCTTTTGCTACAACAGACCCTAGCCTTACCCACGTCTAGATTTTGTGACAGAACAAGCAGATAACTCCAGAGTCTAAAGTTCTCTCTGTAGTCTATGGATTGATAGCACACTCAATTCAGAGCCAATCTGCCTCCATAACAAAACTGAGCTTACATAATTGAAGCCCTCTTTAAGAAAAAAATATGTGATTAGATGTGTAGAAGTAGCTACTGAAGTGAATATTTATAATCTGATAAGAAATGAGAGCAAATAACAAGAATTTTAAACTTGTAAGTGTACCATAAACTTGACTCATTGTTAGGGCACCTCTTCCAGGGGCCATAGAAGGGCCAGAGCTAGTGAGAGACCCTCATTTCTCATCCTATTTACTTCATGGGAAAATCCACCTATGGCAGGAGTGTACATTACTGAAGGATCCACCACGGACAGACAACCTCTTATCTCACTCACCAATTTCAATGTCCCACAGGTCTTCCCTTCTTTAAGTCTAATACCGTTAACACAGATGCTCACACTGGTAAGTACTCATTTATTTGATTACCCACTGTTAAATTGATTGCCCAGGGCCAGCGCCGCGGCTCACTTGGCTAATCCTCCGCCTGCGGCGCCGGCACCCCAGGTTCTAGCCCTGGTTGGGGCGCCAGATTCTGTCCCAGTTGCTCCTCTTCCAGTCCAGCTCTCTGCTGTAGCCGAGGAAGGCAGTGGAGGATGGCCCAAGTGCTTGGGCCCTGCACCCGCATGGGAGACCAGGAGGAAGCACCTGGCTCCTGGCTTCAGATTGGCACAGCGTGCCAGCCGTAGCGGCCATTTAGGGGGTGAATGAACGGAAGGAAGACTTTTCTCTCTGCCTCTCTCTTTCTCTAACTCTGCCTGTGAAAAATAAATAAATAAATAGATTGCCCAATGTTAAGTGTATGTGTACATGTGCACGTGAATATGCACATATAGGAGCCACGTATATGCACAAGCATATACACAGACACATATTCACTGTAGCTAAGCTGGAAAAGAAGAGAAAGAATCAGAGTTGGAAGCTATTTAACAATAAAACTTCTTCTTAGTAAGAAATACAGTGATGCAATTTGCAAGTCTTTACTTTCCCAATTCCTCTTACCTCTTCTGTTCCTCTGCCCGTTCCTCCACCATACCCCATGCAGGATCCACACACCCCAACCACAAGAGCAAAGAAGAAGGAATCGAACTGACCAGTCTTCAGTCTCCTCTAGAATATCCATATACTTTCACCTGTTTTGGGGAGAAAAACAACTACTTTCCTGGTTAAAGTGGACTTGTTTCCAATGGTCAGATTCAACTATCATACTAGTTCACATTCCAGAGGAGATATTGTAGTCTGAATCCCACAATTTCCATGGGATTAACTATGAAGAAATTAATGTCTTAAAAAAATCGGAAACAACTCCAGAAAACTTGCATACAAAGGGGAAAGCAAGGATAAAATTATCTAATTATCAAAGACAATGGATTAAATAATAAAGGAATCCTGGACACTGTGGTTGTACCAGCAAATGAAACAAGTCTTTGAATCTCATCTCTGCATAGTAATAGAATACTGTATATTTACAGAGTTGATCATCTATTAGAACATATCTGACATTCAGGAAACATATTTTAGCTTCCTGAATGTTCAAATTAAAAAAAAATAATGAAAATCTTTTTCATTGCCCTGCAGCTAAATCCTGCTGCAGGAATGGCACCAGGTGCCCAGACCCTCCCATTGACCCTGGAGAAGCTGGACGGTCAACAGCAGCTGCAACCACAAGTAAGTTCAACTGAACTTTAGTTCAACATTAGGGAGCTCTTTCTCTTAGGTGGACGCCTACAGGGCAAACTGAGGGTTACTAGATTCTTTTTCTAGTATATTCTGTTTTTTATTGAAGATGTTCTCCAGGTCTTCAAAGAAGGAGGTGCCTTTCTCTGAGGGGAGGAGAGAACCTCCACTTTGACTATGACCTTGTCTAAACAAGATAAGAATCGGAGAACTCAGAGGGCTTCCATAGCCTTGGAAACTCATGACTGGAGCATAGGGAGATTGCTGATGCCATAGACAGGAGTGTCAATTGGTAAAGTCAACAACAGGAGTCACTGTGCACTTACTCCTCATGTAGGATCTCTGTCCTTAATGTGCTGTGCATTGAGATTTAATGCTATAACGAGTACTCAAACAATATATTTCACTTTGTGTTTCTATGGGGGTGCAAACTGTTGAAATCTTTACTTAATGCATACTAAACTGATCCTCTGTAAAAAAAAAAAAAAAAAGAAAGAAAGAAAGAAATTATCAACTCCCAACTTGACTCTCACTGGGATTAAACATGACAATAGGTCTGCTCTGATTTCATCATCATTTAAAAAAAATCATCTATTATTTTTCACTTTACGTTTCTGTGTGGGAGCAAACTGTTGAAATCCTTACTTAATGTATACTAAGCTGATCTTCTGTATATTAAGATAATCGAAAATGAATCTTGATGTGAATGGAAGGGGAGAGGGAGTGGGAAAGGGGAGGGTTGTGGGTGGGAGGGACGGTATGGGGGGAAGCCATTGTAATCCATAAGTCGTACTTTGGAAATTTATATTCATTAAATAAAAGTTAAAAAAAAAAAGATGTTCTGGATGAGCAACACCATCCCAAAGGAAAAAAAAAAGTGGATAAAGTTTATCTTCAACAAATCTAAGTTACTCTTTTTGTTCCTTTTTCTTACTGCCCTTGCAAAGTCTTGCAGTCAATTGAATCATGTCTCATCTAGTTTTAAAATCTCAGGAGTTACTGAGCAACCTCTCCCATAATTTCCCACCAGTGCTCTATTTCAACAGCAAAATGTTTCCCTGGGAAAGCAGTACAAGATGGCCCAAGTCCTTGGGCCCCTGCACCCATGTGGGAGACCCGGAGGAGGCTCCTGGCTCCTGGCTTCTGATCAGCACAGCTCCAGCTGTTGCGATCATTTTGGGAGTGAACCCTTGGATGGAGGACCTCTCTCTCTCTCTCTCTCTCTCTCTCTCTGCCTCTCCTCTCTCTGTGTAACTCTTTCAAATAAATAAATAAATATTTAAAAAAAAAAAGAAAGAAAATCTCCAGGCTGGCATTGTTGCATAGCAGGTAAAGATAATACCATCATCCCATATGGGCACTGATTTGTGTCCCAGCTGCTCCACTTCCAAACCAGCTCTCTGCTAATATGCCTGGGAAAGCAGCAAAAGAAAGTATAATTACTTGGGCTCCTGCACCTACGTGGGAGACCTGGATAAAGTTCCTGGCTCCTGACTCCTGGCTTCAGTCTGGCCCAGCCCTGGCCATTGCAGCCATCTGGGGAGTGAACCAGCAGATGGAAAATTCTCTCTCTCTCTGTCTCTCTCTCCCTCCCTCCCTCCCTTCCTCTGGTTCTCCCTCTCTCTGTGTAACTCTGACTTTCAAATAAACATAAATAAATCTTTTTTACAATTTCAATGTTTATATAATCTGCCAGAATTTATCTTTGCAAATATTTTTTACTGAATTTTTGTTTTTTTCAGATATTACCAATTATTGTAGCACAACTTGGAACCCAGGTAAGATTATTTTTCATATGATATTGATTTTAAGTCATCTTGGTGTGAAATATTTAATCTTTCCTTAATTCATCCAGAGAGTTGCCAAAGTTCAAATTTACTTGGCACTGTATGGCCATTAATAATAATAAGAGCTAGCAATTAGCACTGTTTGAAGCATTTTACACATATTATGTTGTTTAGTATTCAAAACATCTTTTGTAGATTTTTGTTTTCCAATTTGACTCAGCATAAATAGAGATACTTAGCTATCCAGTTATAGTTGTACCTGTAGTAAAAGTTACTCACAGGTGAAGCAACTGATCATTCCTCAAACCAAACTGCTAAGAAAAAGATAAGTTAATGGGACTTATCTAATGAGTCATGACTCAGTTTTATTTTTTATCTCAAATTTATTTTTAATTACATGTATTTTCCCTTAAAAATAAGTTACAAGTACTTTCTTGCTTTCTTTCCTCTCTTCCTATTTACTTTATAAAACTGATTCTTGAATCAGTGATAAAATTACCATGGGCCAGCATCAGCATTAACATCAAGTGACTTTTACTTGATTTTTTACTTCTGAAAGCAGAATCAGATAAAAAAATTCCTATAATCTCTTAATTTCCCATCTAGGGCCTAATCCCAAGAAAATAATAGGCAATATAGCAAAAAATTTTATATCATATATTCATTAAAATTATATTCATTGTAAAGAATATTGGCTATTCTTTAATAATAAATAAGGGTTAAATAATCTGTGCAACATAAGAACAAATATCATGTGGCCATTCAAAACTGTATTTATTAAAATTTTCCAATAAAACAATTAAATGATTATTTAAGGTACAAGTTGTATAACTTTATTATGTAAAAAGAATTGTATGCAAAAATCTAGAAGAAAATATCAAACTTTGGATGGAGATTATAGTTTCTTCTTCCTTTACTGATTTCTGCTTTCTCCATGCTTTCTCAAGTGTGCATCTGTTACTTAATGAGAAAATATATAAATTTTAAAATGCACACATTATTCGGCCGGCACCGTGGCTTAGTAGGCTAATCCTCCGCCTTGCGGTGCCGGCACACCAGGTTCTAGTCCCGATCGGGGCGCCGGATTCTGTCTCGGTTGCCCCTCTTCCAGGCCAGCTCTCTGCTGTGGCCCGGGAGTGCAGTGGAGGATGGCCCAAGTGCTTGGGCCCTGCACCCCATGGGAGACCAGGATAAGTACCTGGCTCCTGCCATCGGATCAGCGCAGTGCGCCAGCTGAGGCGGCCATCGGAGGGTGAACCAACGGCAAAGGAAGACCTTTCTCTCTCTCTCTCTCTCTCTCACTGTCCACTCTGCCTGTCAAAAAAAAAAATGCACACATTATTCAAATAAGTGTTAGTAGTCCCTTATAATATGTTGAATGGAATTTTGTGATATGAATCACAAAAGCTGTTTAACATATTATTTAAATACAAAATCCTCATTTATATTCTTTAAAGTATTTTAAGTTATATAAATCTTGAGTCAAATATATTAAAATTTGTCTAATATTTTTGTTTTTTGCTTTTGTCTTTGCTTTTAGGGCACTATCCTAAGTTCAGAGGAAGTGGTAAAAATTTAATCAATAACATTTTAATTTCTTTTTATTTCTACCCCGATGATTTCTGTCTTCACATACTCTCTTTTGATTGCAAACCCTTAGTTGGGTGTACACTACAGTAAACTGAATGTTTTAGTAGGTCCATGAAGTAGGTAGTCCTTTCTCTAGCTAGGGACTTTACCATCCTTCTCCAGCCACTTTTCCATTAATTTGACTTAGCTTTGGTTTTGCCTGTATTGCCATCTGATTATATTCTACTCAGAGAACCAATGTACATCTTTAACTTTATAGTGATTTTTTAAAAATAGGATTATAAACTATTGAAGTGCATGTTTAGAATAATATAAATATTGACTTTTATTTAAGAGAAATGATTCAACTTCTTGATGGATTTTTAATTTTTATGGGAAAATATGTTTCTTCTAACATCAGATAGAGGTAAATGAACTCTTTCCTATGTACATGAATAATTGGAGAGCCGGACTTAAATAAAGTCTATACTAGGCATATCTATTCTCCCTTAAGTCATGTTTAGAGAACCTGACTTACATTAATATTGATATCTGAACATGACAATAGAAATAAAGACTTGAGGCATGATCTGGGAACACAGTTTTTAAACAGTTTTCCTATTATGGAAAAATATAGAAATTTTCTGCAAGAGGTCTTCCAAAGTTTAAGGAAAATTCAAATTATGAAAAAAAAAACTCTGCATGGATTTCAAAATATTTTGCACCAACACAAACTTACCTTTTATTTCCAATTTTCCATAAACTTTTGAAGTACCATCACATATGGTCCATTAAAAAATCATGTAATGAGGCCAGTGTCTTCCTGCCAACACTGACAGAACAACCACATTACCAATGACTGAGACCCTTCTATGCAACAAGCACTTTGACAGACCACTTATATACATTGCCTTTAACACTCACCAAACTACAAATGGAGACTTCCGACCAAGCTTTGCAGATAAACAGAGACACCGACAGCTTAAGTAATTTAGGCCTCAAAGACAAACAAAAAAAATTATAAGGCCATTTCTCTACCACTATAATAGTTTACAAACATTCAATGCGCAGTAACTTGTTTCATGTAGCTTAACACACATGCACACATGTGCATGCACATGGATTTCATGAAATAATATTTATCCTTGTCATAAGGGATGCACTCTGGTAATTTATAGCCAAGTCTATGTTTTTTCCTGAGAAGCAGAGCAATTACTCCTACACTTCCCAGATGCCCAGAACAGCTAAGAATGGGCCAGCTGAAGTCAGGAGCCAGGAAATCAATCTAGGCTTCCCACAAGAATGGCAGAGACCAAAGTACTTGAGCCATCACTGTTTCCTCCCAGGATATCCATTAGTAGGAAACTGGAATAAAGAGCTAAAGCCTAGTGTTGACCCAGGCTCCAACTGACTCCAATTTGGGGCTCTGGAGTATTAGCTGGCATCTTTCCCAGGCCAAATGTCTGCTCCTGGTTTATTTTTTAATAGTGGTTTCTGCCCACCTTTTTTAAATCTCAAAAGAGTAAATGTTACAACCCTCAGTTTTTGAAAATTTCTATTCACTACTCCTGTCTCTCATCCAGCATAAGTCTAATTCTGGTTAAATGCCTCTCAAATATAAAATTGTGTTTCCCAGGGTTGGCCATGTGGCACAGTAGCTAAGCCACCATTTGGAATGCCCACATCCCATATTGTAGTGCCTGCTTTGAGTGCTGGCTTCTCTACTTCTGGTCCAGCTTCCTACTAATGCACACCTTGGGAGGTAGAAGGTGATGGTTCACATACATGAGTCCCTGCCACCCACATGGGAGAGCCAGATGGAATTCAAAGCTCCTGGTGTCAGCCTAGCCCAGCTGTGGGCAATTTTCAAATAAGTAAATAAAATTAACAGAAAAATAAAACAGTATTTCCCAAACTTTAGTCCTGGCCCATCTAAATAAGTGTGACTTTGAGAGCCGGTTAAAATGCAGATTGATGGATCCTGCCCCAGACCTGCTCATCAGAATCTCCTCCTGAAAGGGCAATCTGACACAGAGGAGCTCCTTCAGCAACCTCAAGGAGTACACAAGTCTCCGAACTGTCACAAGAAATATTTCTGACTGAATATTACAATACACATTAAAAAAAAAAAAAAACTTGGAAGAACGCAAACCATAGATTGAGGATTAATTATCATGCCTGAATCAATTTTCCCATTAATTTTTAGGCTCCTAGATCAGTTTTTTTTTTTAATTTAAGGGCAAAAGAAAGATTATTTTAGGTCAATAACAGAGATACAGCCCCCTCTTAATTGTCTGGGTTGTCTGCTTTTAGTATTACATCAGACAAAGCAAACGATTATCCCTTTTCCTGTGACTGGCCTGACTGGGATCTTTCCTCTCTGAAGGAAACAGATACAGCGAGGAATCCCAGTGCTGAAGCCTGACAGACTTGGCTCTGGCAAGGGAGGGACTTTCTCTGAAGAAGGCCAGATCTTTGTTGCTTTCCCTGATTTCCACCCTCCATCCTGCCTTTTCTACCCAAACTTGCTGTCCTCAAAAGACAAAAGCCTGGTGACCAGCCTTAAAGTACATCCTCTGAAACCTGTTTCCTTCCCTCATTCCAGCCAGCCGCCCCACACATCTTCACCGGCCTCCTCCTCCATCCCTTGTTCACCAGTCAGACAGCGGCTAATGCAGATAGCCAGGATGAAGTCCTTCCTACAGGACAAGCAGGGGTCAATCCTGCCATCCGGGCAACCCCCGCGGATGATGACATTGGAGTGACCACCCCCGCGGGCATCCAGAGGAGCACACCTGTGACCGAGGAAACCACCTCGGAGTCACCAAAGGGTAAGTTTGTCCAGCTGGGAAAATGCCCTTGGCCGTGCCAGGCATCTGTACAATGGGAGAAAAGGGTTCTTGGCCTTGCTTGAACAAATGCAGATCTCAATAAATTCAGGGCACCTCTTTACTCACTCACAGCTTATGCCAGCCATGTGAGAGAATGTTTTTACTGGACTACCAATCCTATGGGATTTACCCTGGAAGAAGACACTTAATCCCTGGTATAACATACTTTCCATCATAGGTGAGAGCTGGGAATATATAAGAGCAGCTCTTCTCCTTACCTGTCTATCTCTCACTCAACACATGAGGGTCCTTACACACACACACACGCGTGCACACGCACGCACACCAAAGCAGACACTTCAGTTCATCACAGCCCTCTTCCTGCTCACTGATCGTGATGAACCTCAGAAATTCCTAATATTGCAAGCAGCCACTAGTAATAGCTTGAAGTCAGCACAGTAGATAAACCCGCCTGAAGGAGTGGGACTTAAGAAATGTTGCAAAACTAAACTTTCCTTTCACGAGCAAGAAAAGGTTATAGTTTAATGGGTGAAGATACCTAGAGCCAAATATCTATAAGTAACAGAAGATGACTTCATATTGCTATTCCTAGTTCCAGAAAAGAAATTTTGATGTCAGGTCAAAATGGTTTAATTCAACATACTTTTACTGACATTGAAAAGGTATTTTTTTTTCTTCCAGGAATTCAGTAAGCTGTTTCAAATCTGTTCAACTAAACAGCTTCCCATTTGGGGATGCAGGTGAATCACCTTCATTGATCATATCATAGGATAGATTGAACCACACTGGAGAGTCTCAGAAGAAATTCATTCTTAGTTTTCCTGAAATTTTTCTTGAGATTGCAGAAAGTATATTTGACCTGGAGAATACTGATCTCTGGTCAAGAATAACTAAATGGATAAGCCTGTCTTTGAAATGTAACATCGTGTCACTTTAGACCTGGAAGCTACATATATTAAAATAGATTTTGAAGATGGACTCTTTTTTTTTCTTTTATGGGGCTGGGAGAAAGATGGAATCTGCCAAAAGCTACTTTGGAACACTTGTGTGATGCTCTGGGTCTTTGGAAGAGAAAAGCACTATGGTCGTGGGAGAGGACCAAAAAAGTGAGGACAAATTCTGCCCCCTCACAACCACCTCATGACCCACTCCCTCCCATCAATTTAATGTTCAATAGGTAAATTATTTCCAATCACCTAAAACATACAGTTAAAGCCAAGAATTAGAAACCACATTGCCCATCCTAAGCTGTTTCAATTCAGAGCTATTGATTATATTGCTTACTGTTTAATTTTGGTGTGTCTGAGATCAGAAAATGATATCAATAGAAGTAAACACTAAAACAGATCAATGTTTGGCCGGCCCCGCGGCTCACTAGGCTAATCCTCCACCTTGCAGCGCCGGCACACCGGGTTCTAGTCCCGGTTGGGGCGCCGGATTCTGTCCCGGTTGCCCCTCTTCCAGGCCAGCTCTCTGCTGTGGCCAGGGAGTGCAGTGGAGGATGGCCCAGGTGCTTGGGCCCTGCACCCCATGGGAGACCAGGAAAAGCACCTGGCTCCTGGCTCCTGCCATCAGATCAGCGCGGTGCGCTGGCCGCAGCGGCCATTGGAGTTGTGAACCAATGGCAAAGGAAGACCTTTCTCTCTGTCTCTCTCTCTCACTGTCCACTCTGCCTGTCAAAAAATAAATAAATAAATAAAAATAAAATAAAATTAAAAAAAAACAGATCAATGTGGTGGTCCTGTTCCACTCATCTATCTAAAAGGCAGAATTTAATCTAAACTCATAACCCAGACCATTGGAGTTCATCGAGATCATAAAACCTATAGTAGACTCCCCCAAAAAGGAAAGGTATGGAGTTAACTTTCCACACTACATGTGGCTCATCAATATAACACAAACCTAAACAAGACACCAACAATATGTTTTCCATATGAAGTTTTTCAGGTGAGTAAAGATTCACTAGAGGTGAAAGATATATTAGCCCTGGGGCAGGAACTGTGGCGTAGTGAGTAAAGCCGCCACCTGCAGCGCCGTCACCCCATATGGGCACCAGTTTGTGTCCCAGTTGCTCCACTTCCAATCCAGCTCTTGCTATGGCCTGGAAAAGCAGTAAAAGATGGTCCATGTCTTTGGGCCCCTGCACCCATGTGGGAGACCTGGAAGAAGCTCCTGTCTCCTGGCTTCAGAATGGCACAGCTCCGACCATTGCAGCCATCTAAAAAGTTAATCAGTGGATGGAAGACATTTCTCTCTTTCTCTCTCTCTCTCTCTCTTGCTCTCGCTCTCTCTGTAACTCTGCCTCTTAAATAAATAAATGACTCTTTAAAAAAAAAAATAAAGGGGCCAGCCCTGTGCTGCAGCAGGTTAAAGTCCTGGCCTGAAGCACCAGTATCCCATATGGGCGTCGGTTCGAGACCGGGCTACTGCTCCACTTCCGATCCAGCTCTCTGCTATGGCCTGGGAACGCAGTAGAAGATGGCCCAAGTCTTTGGGACCCTGCAACCGTGTGGGAGACCAAGAAGAAGCTCCGCCAGGAGCTCCGGCCATTGCAGCCAATTGGGGAGTGAACCATCAGATGGAAGACCTCTCTCTCTCTCTCTCTCTCTCTCTCTCTGCCTCCCCTCTGTCTTTGTAACTCTGATTTTCAAATAAATAAATAAATATTTTTTAAAAATCCAAAAAGCATAAATACTACAAAAATGTGTCCTGCAATTAAATAAAAACTCATATTAATAAGCTACATTTTGCGATGTTTATGAGTTATCAGTTTTTCACATTCATAATTTGTTGCAACATCGTTCCTTCAGTTTGGACTCCTTCCTCTGTTCTCATTGGTCCACACTGGCATTGCTGAGATGTTCACGCTCTCTCTGGCCACCCATATTCAAAGATCACTACTGCGTTCCACCAAACTCCCCCATTCTGCCTCACTCTGCTCCCTCCAAGGAGACTGGGAAGCTTTCTTGGATCTCTCTGCCTAAACGCCCTCCCAGAATGGTCTGACATCTTGCTTGAGACCCTAGCACCACAAAAAATTAAAAAAAAGCAAATCATACTGCCTCCTTGGGCACCTCCAGGAATCAGAGCAAAGGTTGCCTCTGTTCACATTTAACTCTCCCTAAGCTGCCTGAAATCCTGTTGTCCCCCACACCAACCCCTTGGTCATACGGTAAAGTCAAAGGACAAATACAGATATCCTGCAGGGATAGATTCCAAGATCTTTTTTCCTGCTTCCCTCCCCTCCTCTTAGGTTGTATAATTTTTGCCTTGGGATTATGGAGAAGGGGGCAGAAATACTAACACTGATCCAGGCAATAGTCTTCCAAATCTACCTCTATAATTTTTTTATTTATTTGAGAGACAGTTAGAGATCTCTCATATGCTGGTTCACTCCTTAAATGCCTGCAACAGCCAGGGCTGAGCCAGGCTGAAGCCAGGAGCCAGAAATTCAGCCTGTACCTTATATGGATAGCAGTGGCTCAGGTATTTGAGCTATAACCTGTTCTCTCCCAGGATGCATTTCAGCAGAAATCTGGAATCTGGAATGGAGCAGGGACTCAAACCCAGGCACTCCAGTATGGGATGTGTGCCTCCTAAGTGCCATTCCAACTACTATAACAAACACTGGCCCCCAAATCTACTTCTACTTTTCAAAATGTTTATTTATTTGGAAGGCAGAGCAACTGAGAGAGAGAGAGAGAGAGAGAGAGAGAGAGAGAGAGAGAGAGAGAGAGAATCTTCCATCTACTATGGTTCACTCCCCAAATGTCTCTAAGAGCCACATCTGGGCCATTCAGAAGCCCAGGATCCTAGAAATCCATTCACATCTCCCATATGAGTGCAGAGGCACAAGCATTTGGGCCATTCCCTGTTGCTTCCCACAGTACATTAGCAGGAAGCTGGATGAGGACACTAACTGGCACTCCAATATGGGATGCAGGTATCCTAAGCAGCAGCCCAATGGCATACACTATACCAAATGCCTGAGGTCTTGGCTCTTAAAATCCAAAATCACTTTCATTCAAACCATTGTTTCTACTGTAAATTCCTAAAGTTGATTTTGCATCTGAAAGGCCAGGAAGGCACTCATTTCTATCTTTCAGTGTTGTTGCTTCTCCTCTAAAGTAATGAATACCAAAGTTTAAAGAAGAGCTGCCCAAAAGAAATGTAAAATGAGTCTCATACTAAATGTTTGTTGAGTAGCCACATGAAAAAGTTAAAAAGAAGGGGAAATTAATTTTAATACTATATTTAAATCATTCCAAAATATAGTAATTTTGACATGCATTCAATATAATTTTTAATGATCTATTTTACATGTTTTGTTATTGTTTCCAAGTATTTGAAATCCCATGTGTATTTCAATTTAAATCTCAGCTTGAGCTGGTGCATATCAAGTGCTCAATAGTCACACGTAGCTAATAGTTACCATTTTAGCACAGAGATTATATTTAAGGAAGGAAGAGGTACAAGGCTGAAAGACCAGAAACAAAAACACACAGGTGAAACTACAAAACTCAGATGAAATAAGTTAAAGAATAAGCAAATAAAGAGATATTTCATGTACATGATTAGGAAGATTGAATGTTATCAACACATAAGTTCTGCCTAATTTAATCTACAGATTCAATGCAAATTTATTCAGAATATCAGCAAATTGTTTTGTGGATTTCAACAAACTAAGTCTAGCTTTTATATGGAGAGGCAGGAGGCTCAGAACAGCCAAAACAATATTGACACTACCTAACTTTGAGAACAACTATAAAGTTAGCATATCAAGACAGAGTGGTACTGGAGAAATAATGGGAAAAAAATAGATGACTCATACAGAATAGAGATTCCATACACAGATCCACAAAAATACAGAAAACTGACCTTTAACAAAAGAGAAGAAGCAATTCAGAGAAAAAAGAATCATCACCAGCCACTTAGATGCAAAAAAGGAAAAATTACTCTACACATAGACCTTGCAACTTTGATCAAAATTAACTCAAAGTGGCTCATAGATCTAAATGTGAACTTCAAGACTACACAACTCCTAGAAACACAGGAAAGTATCTAGGTTCCCTTTGGTTTGGCAATGATTTTTATATATTTATACAATATGAAAACTACCATCCATGAAAGAAAATCCTGGTAAGTTAGACTTTATTCAAATTAAAAACTTCTGTTCTGCCAAACACAATGTTAAGAGAATGAAAATAATAGCCACACGCTTTGACAAACATTTGCAAACTATATAGCTGATAAAGGACTGATATCTAAAATACAGAGAGAGCTTAGTGGGATTCCAAGATTGCAGAATAGGGAAGGGTGTACTGTTCTAGGCCATGGGTAAATAGTTAAAAACAAGGCAGGGAGGATAAAGCACATTGTCATGGAAAAATTAGAGACAAAACCGCAGTGGAAAGTCTATGGAAGGAAGTGGGACATTGTGGATCAGTGTGGAAGGTGCAGACACACAGCAGGAACATAGAGGCAACACGTGACCCCAGCAGCCAAGAGCCGGAGAAAGCGCCAGCTTTGGAGAGTGAGGCGAGATCACACTACAGCAGCCCATGACACTGGTGATATAGCCTGAGGGAGAGCTTGGCGTGAGTCCAGCCTGGAGTCCTAAGGGGGACAGGGTA